AAAGTGAGCCAGTACTTATGGTTTCTTTTATGTGAGATTTCCGTAATTAAACATCTTTTTAGCTCAGGAAATAGATTTTAAACCATTATATTCTTATTCAGGTTGATCCATTCCTACATTTGGTTGAAGATCGCAAGTTGCAGGCTGTTAAGACTGGATCTGACCATCCCACAATTGCTTATGGATCTAAAGAAGATGATATTTTGGCCTTAAAATCTCTATCAGAAATAGCGATCACTGAAGAGCAAACAAGGGAATTCTTTGCTTCTCAAATTGTGAAGAGCTTGGACAAATTGTCAGATGTAAGCTTCTATACCAATTGATTTAAGCGACTTCGACTGCCTTTTGATAATAAAAGAAAACAAAAGTCATTTGTACTATAATATCAATAATGAATAAGGAGCTGTTATGCAGTCTGAACTGTCTACTATAAGGGAGCAGCTGGTCAGTGAATTCTTACCTGATGATGTGTGTCCACTGGGAGCCCAGTTGTTCATGGATGCTCCACAAAAGTTATATCAGGTTGATTTGAGCAATAGTGAAGCTATTAAGGAGGTAATTTCCCTGCATAGCTTTCAATTCTCTTCATTTTTTTTTCCCTCTTTTCTTTGTTGGTAGGGAAGATCCTATGTCTTGTGTGTGAGGGTGGCAACTATTACATAAGCGTTGAGCAAGAAAGATGGGAGCCAATCAACTTATTTATCTAAAAAGTTTTCTTAATGCTTGGGACTCATAATTTTATTCTTGTTATGCAGGATGCTCCAATATTTTCTTTGGATGATGATTCTTTTCCAGGTTCATTTGATAGCCAAAAGAACAACTCTGCGAATCTTCCTGATCTTTTGAGTGTCAATCAACTTATGGAATCAGTATGTTAGCCACTACATGTTTTTTATTTATTTATAGCTTTTCTTGATTTAAAAGAAATGTAGCCTTTTGTTGGTTTGTTAATCAAGCAAAATTCAGAGAGAGGAAGGTACATCATGACAATATTTTGAAAGCATGCTTTATGCACTCAGGTCCTGGAGACAGCACATCAAGTTGGAAGGTTGTCAATCTCAAATGCACCTGATGTGCCTTACAAGGAAATGGCCGGCCACTGTGAGGCACTCCTGATAGGAAAGCAGCAGAAGATGTCCAGTTTGATGAATTTCCAACAGAACCAGGAATATTTGATGAACCTATCTTTACCAAATCGTAACGATGATGTGAAATGGATGACGTCCGATTTCCAAGCTGATGCCGGTTCCCATAAGGTACTTCCTGGCGTTAACTTAAACCATGGATACTTGTATATCAATGTATATATCTATGCATACCATGCACGTGCTCTGGCTGGAATTTTGATGTAGTTGAGTTGTAAAGATACATACTCTCCAGAATTTTGATCTGCATGCAAACTAATTCTCACCATTTCTCACTCTGTGAAAATCTAATGTCGTGAACTTGAATGAAATGCAGAGTGGTAATCCTTTTGCTAATCAGACTGCCATTTCATACATAGCACGCCAAACCCCAGGCTGTGTCCCAATGATGTGTGCAACTGAGTACCAGCAACATCCCCACTCCTTCAGACTACCGGCATCAAGTCCATATGATAACTTCCTAAAAGCTGCAGGCTGCTGATGAAAGGAAATTTTTGGTAATCCAGTGAATTTAAAATGCTCAAGGGTTACCGGCTTTAGGTAATTTTTTTTTTAATAGCTTTTCCTTCTTCTTTTAGGCTTTGTTACTTATGGAAGGGATTGTTGTCACCAAACATCCACCAAGTTTTTAACCCTTTTCGTTTCCAATTCTTTCATTCTTTTCATTTTCCCAACATTTAGTAGTTGACTGTACAATTGGTCTTATGAAGTTCTCGTAGCCTTGTAGACTTTCTCGTTGCTGATTCGATCGGTTTTGATATATAAAATTTCATTTATTTGTTACTTTCAATTGTCACTGTGGAGCTGTATGTGATTTGCAAACTTCACTGCTACCCAGACACAAGACATGTCTACAGTTCTCACTTGGGTTTCTTCTATAGCTCACTATGTACATGGAGCTATATTTCTTGCCATATCTTTACTTGCAATATATACAAGTGCTATTTGTCACTTGCAATTATTTGACGGAAAGTTTGATGAAACTGAACTTTGATACAAAATTGAAACATAACATGAAGTTTGGGTGGTTAATTGTAGAACATTTTGGTCCATGTGGGGCTTGCACAAAACTGAAAAAGTTCAGTGGTTTGGGGCTTGCACCTAGATCTAAGATTTTCTTTCTCATCTTTTTCACTCTTCTCCTTCTCTTTAATTTCTAGGTTGTATTCTCAAACAAGGTTTTACTCAATACCACTCTACTGCACTTGCTTGTGCATTCTGCTCCTGCCTCAGATAAAATATTTTCTTCGTTGTTTCTGGTTGAATGAAATGCTCCGGCCTCCATTCTTTTTCTGGGCTTCAATGAAATGCTAGTAATTAAATGAAAAATGAAAAATGAAAGAGCAAGGATGCCACATAACGCATCTGGAGGGGGGGTTTCAATGTGAATGGAAGAACTATGGTGGTAATAAATTGGACTTGAGCTGTTATGCATTGGCCTGTTTGTAATGATCAGTTCCTTTTTAATGAAACTTATCTTAACAAAAAACAAAGGGGAGTTTTCACTAAAACACCCAAAATGGGGGTTGAAATTATAAAAAACCCAAGCACTATTAAACATATAAACACACCCAAAACCCATCATTACACACACTCAAAACCCATTTATAAACACACCAAAAAAGTTGACTTGGGGTTGATTTTGGGTGTGTTTCTATGTTTAAATAGTGCTTGGGTTTTTTATAAATACATGTCTAGGATTGGGTTTATTTATAAATTTGTATTATTATATTCGACGCAAAATAGTATCGATTTGTCTATATTGATGTTACCTAAACAAAAACTACATGAGTAAGCTTCTCTCCAAAACAAAAAACAAAAAACTACATGAGCAAGCTAGAAACTCGGAATTTTTTGAATTTTTGGAAAATTTCGAAACTTATACATTTTGGAATTTTTAAAGAAAATTTCATAACGTAGTTCAAAATTTTAAACATGTCCAACAACCGAAAAAGCTAGAAAAACTATTATATAGTAGTATTTAGATATTATTATCTTTTATGGAATAACGCATCTGTGTCTATTTGGTCATTAACTTATATTTAGTTCAACATGAAATAAATCATTGTGTGTAGTCTAATTTGAAACCGCAATATATTTCAGAATTTTTGGAATCTTGAGATACATTCCAATTCCATTTCAATTTTTTCCGGATTTTTTTTTTGGACTTTGGAACTTTGGATGTCAAAATTGATTTGAACTTGTCAAAATTAGAATTTTTCGAATCAGAATCAGCCAAAAACGGAATTTCCAATCCAACTTCCACCCTCAACTAGTAATACATACTCAAACTTATTATATATAAATCAAATAATATATAAGTCAATTACAATATTAGAGAATTCAGAATTGTAATCCAATAATAAGGGTGGTTTATGCTGTGAACATTATGAGAATTATTAAATTAAGAAAATAACCTGGTTATGTGCAAAATTGTGAGTGATTCAGTCACCCAAAACCCAAAAGCAAGAAGTATCTTTGACTTTTGTTGACCACGTAAAAAATACACAGGTTACGGCCAAGATACGTCTAGGGGTTATTGTGTAATTGTTTAGAAAATTATGTAGTCGTTTAGAAGATTATAACGAATATGGGGTCAAAATGTAGTTTTTAAAAATTGGCCACATCACACCTGAGCGTTTCTTCTTCCGGACAGAAAGGAAATCTAGGTTTTTTTTTCTATTTGAAAAGAAACGGCTGCACCAGCAAACTCAAGGAACCAGATCCAGAAGGAAGACGAAGGAAGAAGAAAGAAGTTTCTAAGGCACCTCTTCGTCCGCACTGAAATTTTTGCTGCTCCATCTGCTACACCACCAGGTTTATTTTAATTTTATTTGTTTATTTTTATAAATCTTCAGATCGTTCATTGATGTATTAGTTCATTCGTTATAACCAAATCCAAATCCTGTTCGGATTATATTGATTAGTTAATTTTTTGTTATAAAAATGAATTCTTTTGTATGAAAATGATATTGGGGAGCAGATCTTCGTGAATCACTTGGGAAATGAATGGTTTTATTGGATGTGTTAGGTTCTCTGTGTTGTTCTTCCATGGAAGCAGTTCTTAACTGAGGAACCGGCAAACCCATTGCTAATTGTTTGCTTTTGTTTTGTGGACCTGAATTGGAGCCTTAATTTGGGACATTCGTTTGGTGGCTGAGACGGACAGGATTGGGATTGTGTCCAGTCATATCCCATAGAGTCTCCCACCCTCGCGAAGGAGAGGAACTTCCCTGCCTTGGTTTCACTATCTTCTTCTTCCTATCTCTCTACTCATGCCACCTGAGGACAGAGATAGGAAGAGGGGATAGTGAAACTAGGGTAGGGAAGTATTTTTCCTCGCAATTCTCTGATATATGGAACAGTTGTCCAATTTAATGAGTCCAATCTCACCATTGTTAAGTTCATCATTAGAGTCAAAACCCTTGCTGAGGAGAGAAACTTCCATGCCTCGGTTTCACTATCCCCTATTCCCGTCTCTCTATAGGTGACATGAGGAGAGAGATAGGAAGAGGAAAATAGTGAAACCAGGTGAGGGAAGCATTTTTCCTTGCTAAAGGGGACTTGTCGTCACTAATTTGTGGAAGAGTTGTCCAATTTGACGAGTCTAATCCGACCATTGTTAAGTTTATCAAACATAAGACAGAACATTTAGTCCATTTAAATTGGTCTTGCCCTGTCTAGTCCCAGCACCAAATAGTGAACTGGGTTATGTTTCTCATTTACCTAGGGAACTAATTAGCCTATTTTAAAGTAGTCGATAGGGTTTTAGTTTGTTTGAATGCCTTCCTTTTTTTATTGTCATGCCTTTTTCTCTGATGCAACTCGGTTGTGTTTCTGAGTGGCAGTTTGAAAATGTCTGCAAAATACATCGTTGCTGCTTTATTCGGATCATTTGCTGTGGCATGGACATGCGACCATCTTATGGCTGACAAGAAAATATTTGGAGGCAAGTTGGTGTTTCTGTTTTTTGAAGCTTGTTGCATAATACTTGGTGCAATAGTCTGATGTTATTGTTTTAGACCAAAAAAAATAAAGTCTGATGTTATTGTTAATTTTTATTAACTTAGGAACTACTCCAACAACTGTTGCAAGCAAAGAATGGTGGGAAGAAACTGACAAGAAGTTCCAGGCATGGCCTCGTACTGCCGGTCCACCAGTGGTCATGAACCCCATCAGTCGTCAGAATTTCATTGTCAAGTCTCGTGTTGATTGAAGATTTTCATGATCATCACTCTGTTTATGTAACCAGTTCTAAACAATGTTAGGCTGAACTTTATTCCTAAAGGTTTAGCCATCATTTCATAACATAATGGCTTTGATATACTTTCCTCCTTTGTTCTTTGGTATTGGGTTGTTTGGATAACGTTGTCAACCTTTCTGCGATATGAATAAATTTCAGTGAACCATCTTGAATCTCAGGTCCAAAAACCCATTTTTGAATTACCATTTATTTCTCATTTGTTTCACCAATAATATTAAGGTCACCACAAGCTCTCCTAGATTTTAGTCCTTAGTATGGAATATTTCAGTGGATAGAAATGAGTGAGGTTGAAGTGGCCATTTGTTTTTCCAGATTTTTAGATTCCACAAAATTTGAAGACCAGAAAATTCGGTATTTGTAATCGCAGGGCGAAACAAGTAACAAAAACTCTTTTAAAATAAATAAATAAATAAAATAACTAAGTAACAACTCATGAGTAAATATAATACAATCAGCCATTTCACTTAATCCCCTTCACAATAAACAGATGAAATACCTGAGAACATAGACTGAATGGCCTCAACAAATTATGTGGAAAAAAAATTCCCATGTGGATGAAGATTTCCCACCAACCACAACTCAAATGATGATCCGAGTGATTTGAACTCAGATCTTGACAAATTTTTCTTTGCATAATAAGGTATTTAAGGATTGAACTGGATTAAAGAGAAGCTGTAAATGATTGTTGATATGCACCTTCACATAAAAAATTTGAAAACCAGGAACTACAACATTATACTTGGGACCTAATATGTAAAAGAAACTCAAGAATAATCCTTTCCTATGGGAGGACTCTCCTTGCATATTCATCCACCACCAATTCCTGCATCAACTCAAATCACAAGCGCCATTTCACTTGAACACATAGCAAGGAGATGGATGATCTGAAACCAACCCAGCCGGAGTAAAATTTAAACATGACCACTTCCCCTGGGGTTTCAACTTCACATCAACAAAAGAGCCTTGATCTGATGGGTTCATGACATAGAAGATCAAATGGCCGAGTATCCATCAGTTCTGTTTTATTTCTTGAAGCATTTCCACAACCTTCTTCATTTTGGGTCGTTTGGCCGGTATGCTGTCAGTGCAGACTAGTGCAATCTTCAGTGCTGCCAGCATTTCTTTCCGCCAACCAAAGGAAACTGTGCTAAGCCTTGCATCGAGAATCTGCTCAGGGGTTTCACCTCTTGATGGAGCATTATGCACCCACTTCACCAAATCCACCCCCTCGTCAAAGGCCTCATCTACTGGTAATTTGGTTGTAAGGATCTCAAGCAAAACAACACCATAGCTGTAGACATTCCCGGGTGCTGTAACTTGCATTGTATATGCATATTCTGATGATAGAAGAGAGAGAAAACAGAAAACATGATTAGTAATAAGGGCGAGAGAAAGAAAGGGGAAAGTTGGAATTGAAAATTCATGGCTGCATATAAGATAGAACACTAACAAAGCTACTAAATGAAAGGATTGAAAATTGAACTGTATCAAACTATTAATATACCTGGAGGAATGTATCCAAAGGAGCCTGCAACTGCACTTATACTGGCTGTGCCCCTGGATGGATCCAAGAGCTTTGATATCTCAATCTCTCCGACCAATGGCTTGAAGTTAGCATCCAGAAGAACATTACCAGAAGAAATATCAAGGTGGATAATTGCCACGTGATGAAGAAAGGCCAATCCTTCTGCAACTCCGATGGCAATAGAAAGTCTTGTTGGCCAGTCGGGTTCATATTCAGGTAGCTTGGTAGATTCATGAAGAAGCTGACACAATGTCCCATAGGGCAAGTAATGATGCAGCAAAAGAGCAACATCTTCATAAATAACAAATCCGATAGGACGCACTAGGTTATCATGATAGAGTTTGCTCAGCCTTTCAAGCTCTCTAATCATCTTGTTCTGGTGATGAATGATTGTCCTGTCCATGGATTTCAGTCTCTTCACTGATAGAATCAGCCCAGATGGCATAACAGCCTTGTAAACTGTGCTAAAAGTCCCAGTACTGAGCTTGTTTGAATCCTTCAGAGTTGCTTTAACAGCATAATCAAGATCTATTGCTTGTTTGAGATTCTCAACAAAGACATTCCCTGCCACTATTGCCGGTACATTATTGGCTTCCTCATCTTCAGTCCCTGCAGATTTTTCTGCCTTCTCTTGTCTCTCTCTGATCATAAACAGCAGAACCACTACGGTTACAGATACAAAAACTGCCAAACCAGAACCAATAACGGCCAGTACGATCCTGTAAGAAACCCTGTGATGGTCATTTGCATGGCCACCACTGTTAGAATTTCCACATGAGGAGCTCAGTGGCTCTCCACAAAGCCCTTTATTTCCAAGAAAACTGGAATTTGGACTCTTCTGAAATGGTACAAATGTGGGTACTGGGCCAGTGAACAGATTGTTGGAGAAATTGACCTCTATCAAGCTTAACATCCCCTTAAATGCAGTTGGAATGATATCAGAGAGCTGATTATTGGAGACATCAAGAGAAACCAGCTTGTCAAGTTTACCTAAATCAGGGGGAAGAGGTCCCCTGAGATGATTGAAGCTTAAATTTAAGGCAATCTGTAAGTTCTTTATTCGACCAATTTCAGGAGGGATACTGCCAGTCAAATAGTTTCTTCCCATTTGCAACTCAAGCAGTTTAACACAGTTTCCAATCTCATGAGGTATCTCTCCCCTTATGGAATTCTGACCCAACTGCAAGTACTGCAATCTCGACATGTTGCAGATATCATTTGGTATGCTACCATTGATTCTGTTATTGCTTAGGTCCAGCTTATTAAGATTCTTGCACCCAAGAATTGATTTGGGAATCTCTCCAAACAGACTGTTACCAGAGAGAATTAACTCCTGCAGATTCATAAGCTGCCCAAGCTCAGGAGGAATCTTCCCAGTAAATCCATTTGAGGCTAAATTTAGGAGGGTGAGATTAGAGCACTTGGAGAATTCTGGAACAATCTCACCAGAAAGATTGTTGTTGTCTGCTTCAAAGTAGGTGAGGCCACTAATATTCCCAATTGAATGAGGAATGCTACCTATAAGATCATTGTTCCCGATTCGGATACTAGATAAGCTACTGCAGTTTCCCATTTCTTCAGGAATGTCTCCACTTAGTCTGTTCTGGGTCAGAACCAAAAACTCCAGCTTCCCAGAAGCAAAAATACTTTTGGGAATTGGACCTTCTAGCTGGTTAGAATGCAGATTCAACGATTCAAGCTCAGAAATTGAGCCTAGATTATCTGGAATTTTACCCTCCAATTTATTCTCATAGGCAGTAAAAACCCTCAAATTGGTCAAATTGCCCACCCACTTTGGGATAGTGCCATTCAACCTATTACTAGAAATTTGAAAATCCTGTAACTTCTCTAGGGCCTGAATTTCATCTGGTATTTCTCCCACAAGCAAGTTATTGGACAGGTTCAATGATCTAAGGTTTCTGAGATTACCCAGCTCTGGTGGAAGTGAACCTCCAAACTTATTCAAAGACAAATCAAGAAATTCAAGCTGAGATAAGTTTCCAAAAGCTGAAGGAATTGATCCTTGGAAATCATTATAAGAGAGGTCAAGCCTCTTCAAAGCTCTAAGCTCAGAAATAAGAGTCACATTACCTCGGAGGTTATGACGAGAAAGATCAAGCTTTTCCACCATAGAATGGTTCAAACCGCAGCTAATGCCAGGCCAAGAACAATAATCTGAGAAGTTGGCACCCCAACCGGGTACTCCAAGTTCTTCGTTAATGGCTGACAATGTAGTTAAATCATGAAGCTGAGCACCCACAAGCTGAGGCTCAGACAAGCACCCAACTAGAAGAAGACATAACAAGCACAAAACTGCCATTGTTGGGTTGTCTTCTTTTAAAGTTGGAACACTTCCTCTGTGGAAAAGAACTCAACTTTCTTCTCCAAACTCCCAAACAGTGACAAGGGCATAAAACCCCTTCACCTTCCAAAACCCGCCTTTATTTTCTTCAATGATTTCCTTTTTGGCTTCTGAACTTGGAACCAAAGATCAGTTTTCTTTTTCTTGATCAGAGAATCAAACCCAAAAAACCATTCAAGGAATTCACCATGAAAATGCCATGAAAACCCATGACCCAAAATCAGTCGTCACCTTTTCCAAAAATACCCATTTCAGATTCCTTCAAAGAAAGGCATTGGCGTTGCATACAGAGCAAACCAATCCCTTAATCTTGAGGGGAACAAGAGAAAACAAAGCACACCAATCAAAGGCTTTTCTTTTCAGGATTGGAACTCAAGACCCAAATGAAAGGAAGAGAGCTACAGACCGAAACAAGAGGAAGCAAACAAAAGAGCTACAAACATGATTGCATTATGGAACATGGGTTTTAATTATACATGGAAAAATGCCCATGCCCTTAGTTATAAAACAGCCATGATTGCAAGGCCAAGCAAGAAAATGACTCCAGAGGCAAGGGTTTTGTGAAATGAAAGGAAGAAGAGTAAGTGATGAGCAAAGAGTACAGAGTACAATGTTTTGGTACAGGGTTTCACGGACCAGGTGTTTCTCTTTGTCTCTGAGAGAGAGGAGAGGGAGAGGGAGAGAGAGAGAGATTTGAGCAGTAGTGGAGTAGGGAAGTGAGATGAAATTGTTTGTCACGTAGGCTTTCACGAGGAATGGGCATGATGAGTGAATGAACTATCAAGGCTGCTGCTGCATAGGGCCTACCTAACCCGTACTGCCTTTACCATATTAATACGTCTACCTATATAAAGTATTAACGAGATAAAAAGGACTTGTAGCTCTACGTCACTTAATGTTTTGTATAAAGACAATAAAAGAAAGGGTGATGAAGTTGAAGATGACTATTTTGATCAGAATTCAACTCTTGCCTTCAAATTCATTATATATAAAAAACCAAAAGAAATTCCATAATCAAAATTTTTAGGGGTGTACATTGGTTCGAAACAAATGAATTTTTATCAATCCAATTCAATCCAATATTTTATTGAATTTGAGATTTTACAATCCAATCCAATGTGTTCGGATGTCAGGATTTAATCCAATCCAATCCAATCCAATGTACATTGAATTGGATTGGATGATCGGTTTTGTATGAAAATATGATAATCACAAAGATAATCGTATAGAATTCAATCCGATATAAAATATCATTAAGTATGTAATAAATAGACATAAATAAATTTTAGAAAACAACATTACAGAAGTTCGACACAAAAGGTAGAAATCTAGACATAAATAAGTTTTAGATAATACCATGTTATAGACACAATAAATTTTAGAGTTGAAGTTGCTCAATTCCTTAAAAAAATAAAAAAAAAACGCTTTAGTCAACACAAAAGTTAGAAATCTAAAATTTTATGCTATATTAATATATTGTTTTGAGAAAAAATATCAACAACGTTGTGTTGGTGCATTGGTATAAGTGAAACGTGAAAGGTGGTTTATTAGGTGCTTTTTTTTTTTTTTTTTTTTTGATCAAATTGGATTTCAAATCGATCCAATCGATTTTTCATTTTTTGGATTCAAACCCAATCCGCTGATATTATCGAAACTAATAAAATTACATTAGATTGAATTGGATTGATCAGTTTTGACAAATTAGTTTGGATCCTGTACAACCCTACATATTTTGCATAATCCCTATGTATAGCTGCGATTATTAATTTAAGGTGCAAAAATTATAATAAATAGTAGTCATGTTGGCAAATTTTACAACAATAGAGAAAGGGAAAAAGAAAAGATGAATCATTTTGTTTTGTAAGACTTATTGTGCTATATCATTTTTAATTTTAGGAACAAGTACCATGTGAATTTTAAATGGTTATTTTAGTACATAAAACATGTAGGTCCGCCGAGCATATTCTTTGTTAACCAATGCATAATTGGGGGTTGGCTTGGCACTTGTGCTTTTAAGAGCCCATTAAACTTTTGAACTTAGTTACTTGGCATCACTCATTGCCTTGACTCTTGTTACTCTTGCGCACTTCCCTTTTGGCTATATATTTCAAGTGGTTGCAGCTTAAAGCGGCTTTCAACTGTGGAAAAGAGAAAGACAATAATAACATCTATAGTTATATATATCTGAAAATATAACTATATAAAAGAAAAAAAGACATGGATAAAACTTCTTTAGTGACCTGAACTAGCTGAAAGACTAAAACGAAAACGTGAAAATAAAATAGAAACTAGGAGCCAACAACTATTCAAAATCAAAGCAACCAACCACTCCAAATATCTTTTTGATTTTAAGGAAACAAATATGTGCAAGCATAAGCCACAAGTAAACCTAGGATTCCTTCCATGTGGGTTATATATGTTTCACATGATGTGCACAGCCTAACATGGACATTTTCAGTGTTATGGGAATTTTTGACAGTACCAGTAGTCAGTACTCAAATTTTTTCATGTAGTTTAGTTTGTCTCTAGAAACCTGCAAGATTATCTAAACAAGCAGAAATCATGGGATATTCAAAGGGACGCTACACTAATAAAATGGTCCTAATGGACATAATAGGACGATTATAGTATAAATGTTAGCATTCAATTCAAAGCCAGTTGATAATGAGTCAAAATTAATAATGCAAGACTTTCATTTTTGGATACTCTTGATATGCCCTCTCATGTGTAGCGTCACTAAGTGAAACACCTATACAACAAATATTACTTCGATAACGTAAGAGCACGTGTGGTGATCATTTTGCTTAAACGTGGATAACATCCCTTGATACATTCTTATGTAATTGAATAAATATATCAGATTGAGAATCTGATAACATAATTGTATTTTAAACTTGTTTCATTCTCAATAACTTTGGATTTTTGTATACATATCCAATACATCTAAGTGCTTAGAATACCCTTACCACATGGTACTGGGGCAATGAGCATTTGTTGGGAAAGACAATCTCCTGAAGGGGAGAGAGTGGGAAAATCAGATGGTTTTTCATATAGGGGATGATAAATTAAGTAACGTGTCAATGTGACAAAGCTGTCCAAAAGAAGATGGGACAACATGTACATGTAAGGGCTACAACACAAAAGTGGCACAGTGGCAGATTCTCCTAGGTCTTGCAGCTTGCTGCAGTTGGTGCTCTAAATCTTACACACACAAAAGTGTTGTTAATTAACCTAGAAATGCTCCATTATTTTATGTCATAATTTTCAAACCCCACTTTGGAAAGCCCACTTTGTCTTTTAATTGTTCCTTTGCTTCTGTGTTAGTGTTATCATTCCTCTCTCACAGAATCTAATCAACGACAGGTGGTTTGTGATACATGACCAAATGAGTGCAAATAATATATATATTGTTACTTGAAATTTTTGAAATTTTAGGATTATGTTATTGAGACACTAACAAAATTATCATGCATTGATTTCATGAAAACATTAGAGATAAATTAAAAAAAACATGCATGATGATTTTTTTATGTGTCAGATAACATCTCTCATATTTTATTAATTTAATTTGGAAGAAACCATCATTTCCAATCCAAAAAAGAGTGACCCAAAGAGTAATAATATACATTATAGATGGTTGAATAGCAAATTTTTAATGTCCAAATATAAAAGCCTCATGTAAACCAAATGTTAAACACTTTCTAACTAATATCGTAATCACCCGCCTAAATACATATTTCCCTCCCTCAGGCAAAGGTTCTAATGCTCTTGATCATATACTAACGCTTCATAGTTATGTAAGGAGCTTGTAGCTCAAGTAATTAAGAGTAATTATCTATGTACATGAGGTCATGTGTCGAATCTTCATCCCTCAATATTTTTTTGTATAAAAGAAAAAAAAGATTGATAGTTATAAGGGCTTACATGTTTCTTATTAGAATGCTTTCAAAATTAGCAAACCTAATATATATGTAGCTCTGGAATTTGAAACACTGCAAATTATTGAATTTGTAAACTTTTCAGCCTCCTGGCCATCAAATTCCATCCTCCTCTTGTCCAAATTCAAACCTCCTCTATAAACAAAACAAAGGAGGGGCCAGCATGAATATTTGATGTGGTGTATGGGACCCCCCCAGTAATGGGTCAAGGGTGTGGCCTCTCCCCAAGACAAGAAGGGACATATCATGTCTGTATAGGACTAGGCTGAACTAACATATTGTATGATCTTATAAAATAAAAAACATATTATATGATATAAAGGCTAACGCATACATGGAAAAGCCAGAAAAGTCACATACCCTGCTCTAGGAAAATCTTTCTTCTTGTAACATTTTCTTTTGTGGACAAGATTAAATATATTGTGCATAAAATATGTTGTCATTAGGTGAATTGTTTTTTTTAATTAACGGGAGAGAAAAATTGCATTGAGACATCTGATAATATTGAGAAGAGAAATACCATTAAACTATAAAAGCTGGTTGGTACACGATTATGGAGTTTAGCATCAAAATCACAACTTTCTTTTCATTTTTTCAAAGAATTTATCATCAGGTTATAAGGGTCAATAATAATTTTATTACAATTTAGAAGCATTTTGTATCTATCTATCAAGATATAAAAAAATACAATTTTTTAAATAAAGATCAAAACAACAAGACCGAAAAGTCTAAAGTAAAATGAAAGCAATTATATGTTATTATTGATAATTATTATTTCATTCATATTAGTCATTATAGAACCATAATGAGTTGTTATTTATATGCATAAACAATAACAAACCACTCGATTAGCAAATAAAGAAGAAAACAACAACAAACCTAAATCAAGCCGGGAATTCTGCAGGGATCAAGGATTACATACTAAGATTTAGAATACAGGCATACTCTGGTTTTGGCATCCCTTAGAGAATACTATAGTGGTGGGGTTGATTAGAATGTGACGTTTTTTAATTATGGGATTCCATGGCATGGTTGATTTTAGGGTGTGAAGTACAAAATAAAATAAAAACGTGCATTAGGCTAAGATGGCACCTATATGGTCATGGAAATGCCTTTTTCCTAATGCCTTATTACTCCTATTGGCAATAATTTTATAAGCATGAAGCTTGGATTACCTGCCAAATTGCATTCTATTAACAATGGTCACGTTAACAATTTTTTTTGGGCTGTAAACATACTTTGTTTGGGTGCCATTTATTATCATTGTTTTTAACATCAGGACGTGAAATACCACTCAATCAGGAGTTAATTGATTCACATAAATATTTCTAAGTTTATGACTGGTCGACAAGCATGTAAAAGATGGGTTAGAAAGATTCAATTACACAAAAGGATGATGTCCAAACTATACCTAGTTTGCAATTCTAAAACTAATGAACAAAACTATAAACCTCTTTAATGGATTTTAGAAATTGTTTATGTGAGTTCATAGTGCTCATCATTTGTTTATGCGCCATTTCATTATGGGGGGAAAATGGGCCTTTCCTGTATTAATATTTATCATAATTCTTTGATTTGAATGGGTCCTCTCTCTGAGAGAGAGAGAGAGAGAGAACAGTCAAAAGGAAATTTGTGGTTGCATTGCATCAACAAAATCCTGTTTGTTGTACTATGGATATTGAATAGAGGCCATCCCATCACCACCTTCCCTTCCCCCCTAACGAATCACCCTTTTTCCACTTTCGAAGGACATGACTCCACCCACCCACCTTCTACTCTACCAATGGCATGTGCATGAGTGATGGTGTGGGGAAACCACTTTAGGGGATTGTCATCCATTTGAGTATGACCACAAAGAAAGAAAATAAAAAAGGACTGTAAAAGCAAATGGTATTTCACTGTGCAATCTCTATTGATTGAGATTGGGCTCTCCCTTTACTAGACATGCTCATGACCCTTGTAACATGGTTGTCTCACCTCTTTCGGGCACTTTCGGGCACAAATGTCCTCTCTCTCTCTCTCTCTCTCCTCTCTCTCCTCTCTCTCTCTCTCTCTCTCTCTCATATGTATTTTCCAGTCCTACTCTGTCACTCATATTCATAAAGCCTAATTCCCATCCAGAGATCTCTTTTATTTATTTTTATAATACAAGCGATAGTTTAAAAAATTAATCCACACACCAACAGGTCTGTCTAGGTAGATAATAGTTTTAATTTGTAAATAAGTGATTTCAAGTTTGATCCCCATGATGCCTTAACAGCGCATGTGTGTGTGTGAAACTCTCATTTCCTTGTAATTTAAATTATCACTTGTATTAAAAAAATAATATATATATATATATATATATATATATATATACTCTACGAGAATGGAGATTCAAATTTGAGCGCAAAGAGGAGCTCATTACAATAGCCAACTAGCTTAATCGAGGTCTGCTTCTCCTACTCAAATTTAAAAACATTTAACAAAGACATTTATGCACATCCTGACTTTTGGACAGCCCATACCGTCTATTAGTATGACCCAAAACATGGGGCTTGAACAATTCTGAGGATAGGGCGACGTGGAATTTGGTTATAAAGGTTTTGGGCTGTGGGTCAACTGGTCCTCTTTTGGATTATTTGTTATATTTAATCTGTCATTTTATTGGACTACTATTCTCAAACTAAGTTCTTGAGGAAAAATATGATAGGTAAAGTAAATACCCAATTAATGTAAGTCGCCTTTGATAACCAGTTTAGTTTTCTTTTACTGGAAACATAATAACTATTTTCTGTTTAAAATAAAAGAAAAACTGAAAATTGTTTAGTAACAGTTTTTTTTTAGTTTTATATGGAACGTGGAAATGAATTTATTCTTGGGGCGAAATTATAGATTTGAGGTCATAAAAATGAACATGCATGTTACAAAGAACTTGTAGAAATTTTCGGTGAGTTTTTTGAAATTAGGATTAATTTTTGGTGAACTGGATGCAGTGGTGGATCTAACAAGGGACGAGTGAAGGCTATACCCCCCACTCACCCTTATTGCTACCCTTGAAGTCTCCCATAATGTTCTTTGAAGTTCTGCTTGAAGGGGGCAAAGTCTTTGAGAAAAGTCTTGAGAGAAAATAGGAAGGGGGCAATCTGTTGACAAAAATAAGTGACAGATCTAAAAGGGACAAAGTGTTTGAAGTTAGTTTCATTTCATATGTCTATATTGGGCACAAATATTTTGGCGTGTGTTCTAGAAATTTATTATTTTTCTCTTAAAACTAAATGCTTTGCGCTTCCACATTTCGCCCCCAACACAAAAAATTCCTTAATCCACCACTTGTTGGATGTACCAAGGCTCGGACTAGGTCAACGGGGGAATGCAAGATTCGACCGGCCAATTCCAAGTCAAGAGGTCCCAGATGCAAATTTTAGGATTGAAGTGCAATGTATGTTGGGTGATGTATTGGTGAATGAGAAAGAATGGTAAAAAAAAAATGAAAAATGAAATTTTAGTATGAGGATCTTGCATCATTCCTCCACAATAGGTGCAGGGCCCTTTTTTTAAGAATTCCTTAATGATGAGAGTAAAATTTAACGGAGAACAATTATCAGTGCCAATCTGATTGTATTCCTGTTTTTGCAGCCTGATGACAAGAGTTATATGTTCGCATGTAAAGCCACCAAACTTTTGATGTAGTTGAGGAGACACCTCATAATAATAAATAAATAAACAAATAATAAAGATTATCATAATTATTAAGGTAGTTTGAGAAGATGTTATGGATGAAATCATTCATCACATTGCATATTTACAATACTAGAATTAGCAAGCGATACAAAGAAAGTAAACAAAGTCGTGCACACCACACCACGCATGTCCACAACTATTATTTACAAAGGCGATTATTTTATTTTTGGTCGTCCACCCCATAACTCGAATAAAATAAAATAAAATTGATCTAATAAAATCAATTGATCTAAGCACGACACAAACTAAATAAATAAAACACAAACCAGTAAGTACCTAGACACAAGAAAACAAACAAACAAAGGAAAAGAAAGAAAGACTGAGACAACTGAAGAAAGAAACTAGGAATTAGTATAGAACAAACACATGAGAGGATCCACCTTGTTGGCATATATTATATATGGAGAAATCAATTGAAGGAGGACAAGGAAACATGTAGCACATGAAAAATCTTGGGCCAATCTTCTCCAATGTCATACTGGCATCTCCTCTCCAATTCAGGACAATCATGAATCACAAGTTCTCTTAAGGAGGTAAGAGAACGCATCCCCTCTGGCAAAGACGACAATTTCTGACATGAACCAATGACCAACTTTTTGAGTGATGTGAAACTTGCCAACCACTCAGGTAATGCCTCCAAATTATCACACTCGTCAATAGCCAAGAATTGAAGGGTGTTAGCCACTCCTTGAAGCCATTCAGGCAATGCCACCATCCGTGGTAGTTGTCTAATAAACAATTTTTGGAGCTTCAGTGGAGTTCCTTGATAGTTTACTTTCCCCAAATCCAGTTGTTCGCATTCTGATATCCACAGATTCTGTAAGGAAGCAAGATAGCTCGTTTCACGTGGCAAAGAGGTTAAATTACTACACTCAATAATACTAAGAAATCGAAGTGATTCCAAGCATCCCACCCCATTCTCTGTAAACTTGTTTGTTTTGTGGTTAACCGAAGTGATGTGAGGCTAATCAATTTGCTTATATCTCTCGGTAACCCTTGGAGATTCTCACAATAACCAAGAATTAGAGTTTGCAAGCTCTGCAATTTGCAAATTGCATTGGGGAGTTTCGTTATTACTTCATTTTGACTCAAGTCCAGATATCTCAAATGTTTCAGGGAACCAATGGAACTTGGGAACACTTGTAATGAACATTTAGGTAACAAAAGCACTCGCAAATACTTGAATCTTGAAAAGCAAGTGCACATGAGGGATTCATCGATCTTTGTTTCCTTTGCTACTATAGTCCGCACTTTGTTCAACTTTTGCAAGGTTGTTGAAACATTTTGGCCAGCTTCCAAAATGTCAAATGTCTAACATTTTCAGACATGTCTTTGGTGTTTGCAGACTTCACTGTAAAACACTCACCCTGTGTAACTGATTGTACAAGATCATGAATAAGATCATGCATATCAAAACGGTAGAACCTATCATGATCAATAACGTTTTGAAAGAAGGATCTCGCCCATAAATCTTTAAAATACAGCTCTCCGATGTCTTCCAACTCCATATTCCCATGATCATGAGACTGATCAAGGATTCCATGTGCCATCCAATATTTGATCAATTTAAACTATTAATTTAATCCTATCCCTTTGAAGATGGGAACAGTAAGCAAGACATTGTCTCAAATGATGAGGCAATCGGGTATAACTCAATCTCAAAGCAGGTAAATGTGACCAGCATCTTCTTGTTTCAATTCCCATATCTCAGAATCTCGCACCAATTTCCATTCGCGCTCATCGGTTTTTGAGTATAGTTGACTCCCTAAAGTTTTCACTGCCAGTGGAACCCCTCCGCACTTTCTGACAATATCCTTTCCCATTTCAAAGAGGTTAGGATAGCCTTTATCACGTCCCTCTTTAAAAGCACATTCTACAAACAAAGACAAACAATCCTTGAAAGAAAGAAATTCTAAATTAATGCTTGTTGGAATGGTACCCATCATCTCAGCAACCGAGGTATTTCTTGTCGTCACTAAAATCTTACTTCCTGACTTGGCTCCCTCTATCAATAAATCTCTTAACTCACTCCATTTAATAGGATCCTCATTCCAAACATCATCCAAAACAAGCAAAAATTTATTATCCTTTAAAGCATGACGTAGCCTTCCTTGCAACTGATCCAGACTCAATTTATCACCCATCTCTGTATCTAATGCAGAACTAAGAATCATCTTTATCAATCTAGTAATTTCAAAGTCCACTGAAACAGACACCCACATCCTCTTTTGGAAATGCCCAACGACCCTTTCATCATCGTACACCAACTTGGCAAGCGTGGTCTTCCCTAAACCTCCAATCCCCACTATAGGAATAACAGAGACATTCCCATTCCCACTTTGATCATCATCACCTTGTTCCATCAAGAGATTTACAATTTGTTTCTTCTCAGACTCTCTACCAATAACCTTTGAAGCACGAACGAAGGAGTGGGTCACATTCACTCTTTCATGATGATCACCACCACCTCCATGATGATCAATACTAGTGAGAGAATCAAATATAGCCTTATTGGACTTGAGCTCATCTAACCTCTCTCTAATCTCCTTGATTTCATGACCTACTCTCAAACGGAATGCAATTGGATTAGAACGAGAGAAGAAACGGCGTACCTTTCCAGTTGTGCCATGAAATGTTTCCACCACTTCCCTCCGCAAAGCTTCGCACTCAAACTCATCCAACAAATCCTCGGCATCAAGAAATACATCTTTAAGCTGTCTTAGCCAACTGCGTATCTGCTGGTTATGAGCTTGCTTCTGTTCGGCATCCAAGATGACACCTTTGATGGTGGACATTGTGCGCTGAAGCTTTTTCAGATCAGCTTTAACGCCCCAAGCCAAGCAGATCTGCTCAGAAGCAAAGGACCCGAGCTTTTCAATGAGTTTGGTTGCCAAAGGAAAGGCAAGATCAGCCATGGTTCTGTTGAGGAGGTGAATACAAGGGAATTGGGATATATTGTTTTTAAACGGAGTATATGAATTTCAATTAACTGAAATAAAAATATGTCTTCATATAGAAAGGCAACATGAGGGGAAGACAAAACAAAAGTATAAGATACCTAAGCCTCAATTACTGGACAACAAGTCACCCAAAGACGTTGCAGTGCAGATTCTATGAAGCGTAAAGAATTAGGAGGGCAAGTCTTTTAGTTCACTGTGGAAGTCTCAAACTTGCTAGCTAGAAATTTCCAAAATTTTTTTTAGAAATAACAAATCCATCCAAAATTTCCAAAATTTGAATACTACTGACACAAGTATTAACGTAAGATTTAATTTATTGTTGGGGCATTTTTTTTTTTTTTTTTTTTTTTTTTTTTCTTTATTGTGTCTAATTCAAGTGCATATTCTTGTTCTTTGCTTGATCTTTAAAGAAAAAAAAAAGGGAAATGCAGCATCTATTCGTCAAAGTCTAACCTAAGCAATGCCTTCCTTTGTTGCTTAGTTTTTTTTTGGTCGAAATTCTTTGTTGTTAGGTTAGGTTAGAATGCAAACAAGAGTCCCCACTTATCATCAATTTTGTGAAATCCAACCGACGGAGAGAGGTGAGGGAGAGAGAGGGGCGACTAATGAAGTACAAGTAGTCATGCCCAATTCAAGTATATATTCTTGTTCTTTGCTTGCTCAACACTTATAACCAAGTCCTTCATTCAGTTGATCACACTAGCTAAGTTCCAAACCATAAAGAACCCAAAAACAGAGAGAGTAAAGCGGGGCACTCGGCATCTAATCTTTGATGTGTAACTTAAGTAATGCCTTTCTTTGTTTACCATTAGAGGCATATAATATCGGTTTCTAAGAGAACCTTGGTGAAACATGGCCTTATCTCGATAATATATATGTATATTTTGATATTATAGGTTTTGCTTGAATTAATCATGAATGGGTATTTTAGGAATTATGGTGGGTGGAAAGATAGAATTGTATTTTTTAAAATTTATATGATGAGTGAAAAGATAAAGTGGGTGAGGAAATAGGACAGAATGGTGGAAATAGCAGCACTCTTAAAATAATAATAAAACTGATTGGATGCCTGCTTTTTTTAGTGTCACTTTTGACGTCCAAAGTTCCAGCCTTCATTCGACGTTAGTTTTGGTATTTTGGTTGGAGTAATAGGAGGAGCTATTTCTTATGGTTAGATGCTTATGTGGCAATTTAAACACATCAGTTAGAGATGCTCTTAAGTCTTGCTTAAGCTACTTAACATAACTCCTAATTAACATTGTTCACGAATGTATCAAAAGCAGTAGTCGCAAAAAAAAGTGAGAAGCAATTAATACCACACGAATGAAATCATTCCAATACTCGTGTATTAATAAACAAGGATGGAGACAACATAGGACCAAGGCGGTCCCGGGCCCCTCCTCAATATTAAAATAGGGAGCTTCACTAATATACCCAAAATAGAGGCTGGAATTATAAAAAAAAACCCCACATGGAATGCACTTTAGAAACACACCTAAAACTCATTTACTACATAAGAAATTAGTGTTTAAGTTCTTATAAATTACATGACTACCATTGATCAATTTAAAAAAGAAGACCAACAAAAAAAAACTTAAATAGCACCCAAAACAAGCCCAGCCCAATTTATAAAAAAACTCAAACAATTCATTACAAACAAAAGGTCTTGAAAACTGTAGTTTCATTAACATGTCATGTTAATTAATGATTGTAATATTCTACACCTTTATTGTCATGTTGATTAATTATTGTAATGTTCCAGTTTAGGGTAATAACACTGCTCTGTCATGTTGATTAATGGCTGTAATGTTCCAGTGTAGGATAATAACACTGCTAGTTTCCTATAACATCCTATTTCTAATGCATGTTTACCCCTGTAATGTTCCAGTGTAGGGTAATAACACTGCGAGTTTCCTATGATATTCTATTTTTGAATGCATGTCTACCCATGTAATGTTCCAATATAGGGTAATAACATTGCTAGTTTACTATCATGTTGATTAATGGCTGTAATATACCAATTTAGGGTAATAACACTGCTAGTTTATTGTCATGTTAATTAATGGTTATAATGTTTCAGTGTAGGGTAATAACACTACTAGTTTCCTATGATATTCTATTTCTAATGCATGTCTACCCATGTAATGTTCCAGTGTAGGGTAATAACACTGCTAGTTTTCCTATGATATCATATTTTTGATGCATGTCTACCCATATAATGTTCCAATCTAGGGCAATAACACTGCTAGTTTCCTATGATATTCTATTTCTAATGCATATCTATCCCTGTAATGTTCTAGTATAAGGTAATAACACTGTTATTTCCTTATGACATCCTATTTCTAATGCATGTTTACCCCTGTAATGTTACAGTCTAGGGTAATAACACTGCTAGTTTTATTGTCATGTTGCTATTTCTAATACATGTCAACCAAAGAAAAGATGAAGAAAGAACAAACCAGACCAACTCAAAACAAGCTGAGTCCAGATTGTTAATACTATTATGTCATAGAAGTATAGCGTTAATACTCTGTCATAGAAGTACATTGTTAATACTTTGTCACAGAAGCACATTGTTAAACAAAAATTAGATTCATAATTGAAATAGTAACAAAAGTTGAATCGATCATCAAAGCTTAAAATACATTTCGAAAATAAACTAAAATCTGAAGAGAAACACATAATTGAAGCAAAAGATCAAAAATTTCAAGTCTAAACCAAACAACGACGACGATAACAACAACGACGATGTGGTGAAAGAAGAGTAGAGCTTGAAGATGAGGAGTAGAGCTAAGAGCATTTGATCGAGGTTTGTTCGAGGTCTTGAACAATCCGAAAAAAGAAAAAATCAATAGAAGCACGAATTTAGAACAAGAAATCGAAGGTGAAATATTGAAAAATGTAGATTAAAGATGAAGAATATAGTTGGACCTAAGATTGAGCTTCAATGGAAGCTCCTCTTGCTCCAACACTAGAGAAAACACCAGCGAGAAAGGAGAAAATAAATCTGATTTGGTTTTTTGGCAGATTTGATTTTTTTGGCAGATCTGGTTTTTTGGCAGATTCGAGCAGATCCGATTTTCCTATCTTAAATCCATAGTACAAGGACAATATAGGTATTTAACACACACAAATAAACTAAAAAACAACTATTAAATTAAAAAAATTGACAGCTATCAATTTTTTGGTTTTTTTTGGGTGTGTTTATAGTTTTTAAATGGTGTAGGGTTTCTTTATAAAACTATGTATAAGATTGGGTATATAACTAAATTTCTATTAAAAAAAAATATTATGCTGCTTTGCATATTATCATAATTTTTTATGTTTAAATAATGCCCAATCCGAGTTCTTGTGATGCAGAGCACCCATTGGATAATTATAAAAAGCCAGACTGGGTGCCTGTAATTTGTCATGTACAAAATGTGTGGGTCTCCTTTGAACCGATTAAGCAAAAATGGCTCAATTGATAGTTAATACACAATAAAACTAATGGACGGTATAATTTAAAAGACGAACATATAGCATTAGGGTGTACGTTGTATAATTTTGAAGTCTTGTTGCAATTAATGTGAAGAACGATCTATGCCTGAAGATGCAAAAATTGAATTTGATAGCAACAAGTATAGTTTAGTGAAAAAGGGTTCACACTCCCATGACATCTTAATAGTTTGTGCAAGAAACCTCTCGCCTCTTGTAGTTTAGACTATTGCCCGTATTTTGAAAAAGAAGAAAAAGTGAAATTGACCACCCATTAATTATAATTTTTTTTAATTCTTTTAGTTTGGCCGTTAAAATTTTTATATTGCTTTCTTGAAAAAGAGAGAGTTTATACTACTTTAAGATGTGGAATCGACATGTTCAAAATCTAAGATAACGCAAAAGAAATTATATTTTGTTATTGGGGAAAATGGGTGGCTTGACAAAATTTTGTGGTGTTTTTCAAATGGAAGCTAATGGAGGTGGTACATTAACACTAATATGAAGTTTGGGTGGCAAATTATTTGTTTTCATTGTGAGATAAGGGCATGCATCCCTACTAATGCAAGTAGTATTTGTACAAATTTCCCAGTAATTTTTATAATTTCAATCAAGTACCATGTTTTCTTGGAGTACCATAAAGCACTAATCAACCATTACCAATTTTAACTACCATGTTATCTTTCACTGGCTAAGTGAGACTCCCCTTGGTATGTATTTTCTTATAAGAACCAATCCAAAATAATGAACTGTATAGTAGTAAACTTTTCTCAGCCGGATTAGTGCTAAATCAAGAACAAAAATGCCAAATTTCTCTTTCTATTCAGAATATTATTCACATTATAATGTTACACAAGGTTATTATTTATCTACCTTCAATCAACTCCAAGCCAGGCCTTCTCATCAACTTGCTTGCATGTATAGCTGCAGCAATGAAATTCTCTTGCTTAATTATCATGTTCTGTTCTTCTGATACACCCACTTGACCACATATAACATAAGATTACAAAAACTCTAGCTATCCTCTTATCACCACCACCAAATCCTACAAAAATTACAGCACTTTGGTTTATTTATTCTTTATCTTTAATAAGATTTATTTTGCATCGACTGGAACCAGGCCATAGCCATTGTTGTCAAGCTGTGGTACATTGTTGTGCATGTGACATTGGAGCTAAATTTGTCATCTCTGGATGAGCAGCTCCCAAAACATTGTGTGATTGATCCATTGTGTAGTACTATTATTTGCAAAGATAAGGGCTTAAATAAGAAGATTGTTTTAATTTTGGTGGTCTGAAAGGTAAATATATAAGAACAACTGATCACGAATGATACAATCCAAACCAAACAAAACACAACTCAGAAATAAGAACAAAAACAAGCAAAAGGAAAGTAATACTAGAATCGTAAAAGAAACTTGCAGATGGATGGATGATGTAGAATAGCAGTTGCAGAGCACTGACGATCATCCGTCACTTGCAGGAACTAATAGGCACCAACAAAAGACAAGGCACGCCAAGATTACTGGATACGTCAAGAGCTTGGCTTGTGCAAATCTTTCCTGGCACATCCCAACAAAGAAGTAGTCTGCGATGCAAAAAATTGATGATAATCCTTTTCATTAAAGTAAGCGTTATAACTGAAGGCAGGAGGAGAACAAGCATATAGATGACTCATCTCCTCCTTAGAGTAGAGGAGAGGAGGAGGAGGAGGAGGAGGAACATGACTCATCTCCTTAGAGTCGTCGATTAAACCAAGGGAAGGAGGAGGAACATATGGCGCACCAAAATCTTACACAAATCTTCTTCAATGTCGCTCTTAACAAAAATCTAAGGCAAATCTTCTCCAATGTCGCACTCACATATCCTCTCTGATTCCAGACAATTTATGATCTTAAGTTCTCTTAAGGTAGTAAGAGAATGTATCCCCTCTGGCAGAGACAACGATTTCTTACATGAATCAAGGACCGTCTTTCCCAGTGATGTGAATGTTAAACCCCTTTCAACCTTGACCCTTGGATTACACAGAGTAACAAGTATTTCTTTATTGAATTATTAAAAACAGTACAATATTCTCAACATAACATTCTCGCTACAGTAATGGCCTACTATAGCTGTAAAACCCTCATTACCAATTCGGTTAGAACTAACTTCTTAACTAAACAATAACAGACTAACTATGCCAGCTCATCACTAATCCAGCTTAGCAATGATAAAGGTTCCTAACATGAACTTGTCAACCACCCAGGTAATGCCTCCAAATTGTGACATAGAAACTAGTAAACAAAGGCAACAATAAATAAATATGCAATGCAAATACAAATAAAACTATTTAAGTTACACCCTTCGAGACTTTAAAGAGTTAAAATCACTAATTAGTGATTCATTATCAATACTATCAACAAATTCTTTTTCAATGTGAATATCATACAATCAACAAGAAACTCATCCTCGATCTTGTTCCAAAGTCGATTTTTGATAAGTCTCATAGATGAAAATGCACGTTTTGTTGTTGCTATAGAAACAGGAAGAGTTAACACCAAACAAATCAATCTATCAACCAAATGGTAGGTGTGTGCTAACCCTGTGTCAAGTAAACACTTCAACAATTCAAAAATGGAATCAAGATTCTTGAAGGCTAGAAGACGGTCCATATCAATCTTATAAAATCCAAATTGTTGATTTTAAGCCTGCAACTCAGTTGTAGTAAAATCTTCAGAATTAAACGTAAAATCTTCAAGATAAAATATCTCAGCAAGATTGCATATATCATCAATGTTAAATCGCATATTTTTAACTAAAAGAGTGTGTTTATCAAACACTTTACAAATCTCGGTTTTAAGAGTTGATGAATTAGTGTCATGAACACTTACAATATCAAAAAACCATTCTCGAATAAATCCATCATGACCAACAAATCTTAGAATAATAGGAATTTGTTCCTTTTTAGATTCATCAAGTGCTTCACCAATGAGAATACAAAATTTTCCATCCCCAACTTCTTCACGAATCTTCTTCCTCACTTTGTTAGCAAACATACTTAGGATCTCCTTTTCTATCATTGGTGCAATACTTAGCATTTCTAGGAGCATTCTCTAAGATGACCTTTTTCAACATCTACATTCATTCTTGAAAAAGCTTTTATCAACTCAATGAAATTAGCATGATTTGACAAGTCATAAGATTCATCATTACCTCTAAAAGTCATCCCTTGATTTGCTAGATATCTAATAACCTCTATTGTGGTTGTAAGTCTCGGAAAATTCTACGGTGCACTTGGCGCATGGATGCACCACTTCTTATGATTGTTGGATGAGTAGTTTGGGCATGTGAAGTAATCCACACCGTTGCTTGTTGGTTACCGGTTAACTTGTTGCCAAGGTAAAATAAATAAAACAAAAACAATTGCTCTCTCCTTCAGTCAAACACATTTCAGAGCCGCTCCTCTCATTTTTCTTTCCCTCTGAGTTCGATTATTTCTACAGCTGCTCCTTTCCTCCTTCTGTGATAACGACACAGCACCAACAACCACATCTCCTCTCCTCTCAGGTAAGTTAGTGCCCTTATTCTCATTCTTCTATCTCCTTACATCTCTCTGTGAACAGAGCCGCACTGCCTCCTCTTTTCTCAGTCTCAGTCTGATTTTGATTCCTTCCATAGGCTCTCCTCCTTCTGTGACGACGTAGACGAGATAGGGTCAGCGGCGTCATATTCTTTCCTTAATTCCTCTCTCATATCAGTTTAAGGTAAGCATCTTCTTCCTTCGAATTTAGGGTTTTTTTCTGTTAAATTAGGCTTGTTGAATTAGGGCTTCTAAATTGAATGGGGGGTTGAGGTAGATTATTTTTTCTATTAAATTAAGGCTGTCAAGGTGGTTGAGACACTGATGGATTGATAGATTTTGATTTTCTGGATATTTGGTCTAATTTATTTGATTTGTTAATCTTTGAATATTGATAAGTTTGGAGCTCATTTATTGGAATGTATTGGTCTTCAAAGCTTTTTTTTTTGCTCGTGCTTTAACTACCTTGACAAGTTAATTACAGTGTATTGGTCTTTCCTCATTTATTGGAATGTATTGCTCTTATTTTTCTTATATATATATATATATATTGGGTTCAGTTCCTTAGTGTGTTTGGCTCCTCTCCCTCCGTAGTAGCAGAAGTTTTTAAGTCGAGAAGCTTTTGTTCTGTATCATCCAACCATGGTGTCTTACTTGTGCATCCTTCGTCTATAGACAGTACATAAACATTGTTGGAGCAGTGATCAATAACTACAAGATTATCAGCAAAGAAAAAGCAAGCATCTGGAGTCCCGAATTTGCGGCGATTAGATAATGCTCCACATTCAACTTTAAGGCTATATCTGCATTACATGAAATCAGTGAATGCTCAGCTAACTTAAGACACATATAAGAAGAAGAACTATTGTTGGCTAGTGATAGATATTCAATCCAAGCATATAAATATGAAAAAGCAGGAACTGAAGGGAGAGAGATGATGACTTCTTATGACTGAACATCAATCAGGAATCAGGATAGCTAAAAAGTAAAGAGATGTCTACTATTCAACCGATTATCTTCAGAGTCAATTAATCCATATTGGGATGACAGTCAGGTCAAGCATCCCATATTGTTTTGTCTCGTGCAGGTAAGACTACTTTTTCTCTATATTGGTTGTGTTTGAAAAAACAAAAGGAAATTGGGTTCAATTCCTTAGTGTGTTTTGTTTTTTAGTTTCTGGTTTACTTTGTTGGTGGGTGGCATTATGATTCTGCTTTGGGTTGATTTTTTTTTCAAATTTATGTTTTTTCTACTAGCCATTAGTTGATGTGTAGATTTACAGCAACTGCTTCTTCCTGGGTAATCTTCATCGTACATCCCTCCAGATTTATATCTGCTGCTAGTTCTTGGTTTTTTTATTTATATATTTCATTTTTATGCTTTTAGTTGGCATGTTACTAAATTTTCAAAAAACTTTAATTATGGTTATGATTGAAAATGCTTCTAAGCTGCATCAGGCCATGGAGTTATGATCTAAACTAGTATTTGCCAAATTGAAAGTTCGACAATGATTGCAGTGCTATTTTATCATATTTGTTTTTGTATTGCAGGGAATTTTGATTCCTCAATTCTTTCCACTGAAATATCATTAATCTTTCCCCTATATTGTAGGAAATTTTGTTTCCTATGGCCTCAAAGCAAAGACTAGGTAATTTGGATTTGAAATGTGTGTACTTTGATTTTTGTTCTTAGGTAAATATTCTTGCTTTAAGTGTTGTTTCTGTTGCATTTAATTTTATTTATGTAAGTGAAAGCTCAACAACTAATATAAACTTTTAATCATGGTCATAGTAGAAAAAATATAGTGGAGGTTGCTGTGGTCTCTAAGATAGTTGTAGGCCTTTACGAAGGTAGTTCTAACTTCTATTCTATTGATGTGGTCTCTGTGATAGTTTTCATAATGTAGCTGCTTCTTGTTGCTTGTGTAGGGTTGATATGGAAAAGAGACGTGCAGAGAAGGAACGGGCAGAAAAGGGGCACGTGCCTTCTGGTTATTTTCTTCCTCTTACTTTCAAAGTTTTAGTAGGTAGTTTCTTGCCTTTTTATGAATGATTTTCTTAATGCCTTGTCTTTGCAATATGCGACATTTGACTTTAGACAACACCCAATAATTGACATGTGAGTAGTTATCTATAACTATTGTTTTATTTGGCTTGTATGTTTTCCTATTTACAGGACTTCCCAACCCACTGAACATGAAACTTCACTGCAATCAATGGTACCATGCATATGAAGAGTCCTAATTTACACGACTTCTAAATCTTCTTCATGGGAAAGGGACTCGCTCTTCTTCTTGGGCTTCTTAATTTGAAATTGGTTTTGATTATGTTTTCCAGTTAAGTATTGTTTTGATTTTGATTTTGGATTTGCAGGTATTCCAACTAGCAGCCCATCCAACTTTCCCAGCATCTGATATGGGTAAAATTTTGTTTTTTTCTTCAGATTTATCTCTCTGTCTTTGTCTTTCATTTTGGTGAATGGTTGGAGATTTTATTTATTTATTTTAGTGATGCATGAGGAATATATATATATATATATATATATTCATTTTGGTGAATTGTTTTTCAGGTTGGGATAAAGAATTAGGCCAAGTACAAGACTAATATACTATTTTAGAGTCTATTTATTTGGCTACTTGAATTTGTAATATTTTCATTGTATCTGGAGATTCTTTGTTTTAAATTATTATTATTATTATTATTATTATTATTATTTTTTAATACATAATGACTTGAGATTTTAGAGTTATAATTATTGGTTATGTAAAGTGAATGTATTGAACAATACTTTCAATTACATGAATGAAGTTTATGTTAGCTTTGATGTGGTAGTACCATTGAGAATAAGCTTTTAAAATAAATTTGACTGTTATATCATAGTTTATGTGCCAATTGAAAGAATCATCCCATTAGCATTGTGAATGGGCATTGTACCATAAAGTTGTATTTACAGATTAGTGTATGAATATTGCCATGTTATTGACAGTCCTTTCAATTTTGAGAAAATATATACAATATGTGATTTGTCAATGCAATTGACAAACAGGTAGTGCCATTTGCATTCCAGTCGTGCAATTGACAAACAAAGTAGTACTATTCGCATTCAAGTCGAGCAATTGTCATTATCTATGCGCAATTAATTGAAAATGTAAATATAATATGTGATTTGTT